CAACTCTGTTTTTTGCAGCTCTACTTCAAGACCCGGTATAATGTCCAAGACTTCAAGCCAGAGGACGTTGAGGTAACCACGAGAGGCAACTGCTTGGTTGTGCATGGTAAGAAGGAGGAGGACCTGCCTGATGGCGGAGTACGCACTCGCGAATTCTGTCGTTCAGTGGTTGTTCCTGACAAAGTGAACAAGGACGACTTCCACGCTACCTTAACATCCGTGAGTGAATGACCTCTACCCTCCGAGGGGGGCTGGGTTGGAGATTTCTTGTTGAGTGCCTTTCTACAAGAGGTATTTTGTTTCGTAGGACGGTGTGCTGGTGGTGGAGGCGCCAGTCAAAGAACCCGACTACAGCGTCTACAAGTTCGATGATGACCGTAAGCTTTGTGTGGCTGCCAAACCGCATGAGGAGGCACCAGCGGGAATGGAGCTCGCTGTCACTGGTAGGTATCTACGGCTTCTTCTGGCTGGTCCAGTTTTTTTTCTCTCCCCCTCCCCTTGCCACTTATTAATTAATGGTCTTTCTCCTGTGCAGGCAAGGACGGTGCCGTGGTGGTGGGTGATGGGGACCACAGGAAGCTGCATTTGGAGGTGCCTGTGGATTCGCACTTGGATCCGAAGGATATCACCATCAGGATGAATGCCAACAGCGTACGTATTACTGGCAGCCATGCTGAAAAGCATGATGAAAAGACCGACAATGGTCAAATCCACTGCTCCGAAAGAACACTTTTCTGCAAGTCCTATGCTATTCCTCATACAGTTGACGCCTGCTCAGCAACTGCGGTTCTGAAGGACAATCGTCTTGTGTTGGAGGCCCCACTCTTGAAATTTTGAATCACGTGCGATCTCACCTAACCCACGCTGCTGTTTTTTTTCTGTCAGCAATAAAGCTCGGATGTGTGTTTTCTCTCTTTCTGCAGCACTTTTAAGTTTAATCCGACTAGACGAAGCTGGACTGGAGGGGGCTGCTTCATTGTCGCTTTCGAACTTTTGCTTATCCATGCGCACTTAGTATTGCAGCCACTTAGGGTCAACATCCAGATCGATTTTTGTTACATTTTAACGAATCTTCGTATCCGTACTTCGCTCTTCGCTCTGCCGGTGGACTTCTCCGCGACTGTCCATACTCTTCTTCTTATATGTACTTGCCGCTTAATCTTTGGCATGATTAGTAGTGTCCTGTGCAATGATATATGAGGTGACCTGTTGCCACCTTCGTTTTTGATGAGGAAACTTGGATAGAGAAAAACGTGAACTGTACTTTATCAGCGAGAATCATGATGCTCACGCATTCATCTTCAAAGGAAAATTGCTACAGAATACATAAGTACTGAGTACGGATGAGCTGCTACGGAGTGTTATTTTGAACTTTATTTGACGAAGGCACCCATAAGGATTCGTTGTGCATACGCAGCAAAACTAAACGGCCTCACTGGTTATTGTGGGGGAGGGTTAGAACCATCCCTTGAGGGGAGAGTTTGTCGAGGGAGATCTTGACTATCGATTTCAAATGGGGTTTACTATTTTTTTCTTGTTCTTTGCAAACAAGGTGCCGTTTGCTGGGATTGGGTGGCAGACAGAGGAGAAAAATCGGTCGAGGTTTCAACGTCATTGTTACGGGCATTTGTGGACTTTTTTTCGCCCCCTTTCCAAGGTCGGTGGATCTTGTTGAGCTTTGGACCAGATCACATAGTTAACAATGCTTTGGATGTGAACGGGCCGGCGTTCCGGGGTCCTAGGCAGTCCCCAACCCCGAATTAACCTGTCATGTGACCCAGTGTGAAGACAACTCGTGATTTTCGTCCTGATGAACCATGACTGTCACGCGCCCGCTCATCGCCAATGACCTCTGACCTGCCCCCTCCCCGAGCGCTTGTCCAGCGGCCTATTGCTATCAGCGTGACTGAGGTGGCGGTCACGCGGATGACTTTTGGGGGGGGGGATGCTGGCTTGGAGAGTCTGGTCGGATAACTGCGACGCTCTGATGAATCAGCCGCCCTCGTGAAAGGATAACCCGCTTGGCTGTAATGTAGCCCGTGAAGGGCAAAGAAGGCAGTAGCTCTGTGTCCCCCCAGTGCGCACTCGTCTGGTAAGTCATTTCCAAGACTGATCTAATTAATACTTAGGAGGACACGGGATCCTTCGCTAGGTTCAGGAGCGATGGCAAAATATTTTATCACAAAAGATGGAAAAGCAAGCATTTGTGTTTGATCGTGCCTCGAAAGTATCAGGAAATAAGACGCTTTACGGTCTCGAAGGGACGATGGTTAGTGCCACCTGCCTACAGTCGCTGCAGAAGATGTCGAACGCCGGTTTAACTCTACGCTGACGTCGGGATTTCTCATAACATTGACCGTTACCGTGAAATGTCATTTTGCTCATGCTGGATGGCAGTTTCATCCTGCTCTAAAACCGCTGAAAGTAAAAATCTCGAACCCTACTTTGTTAAAGAAACAAAGAATCGGCACGCTTAGCCGGTCTAACGTCTTTAGATTATTGACCAAAGGTGTTGTTTAAAATGGACATAGATCTTCCGGACCTGGGGTTTTGGAATACGACTGGCTGATGACTGGAAATAGGGCAGAAGTCGCTATTCCAGTTTTTCTTCGGAAGGGCACTGGAATAAGCACTCCCCGTATTACAGGTGGCCATTTGATAAAACTCAGGGGCTTAGGGTTAGGACGGGGGAATAGGCCGACACTGGAATTTATCACGAGAATGAGGCGTCCTTATTCCCGTGTCAGGCCTTTTCCTACAATTCCCGTAATTTGAAGTTGTTTGAATAAATTCTAACTGTTCTGCGTCCCGGCAGTTTAGTAATTTGGCGAGAACTGGACATGTCAACCTACTGAGAAAATAAAGCCCGGGGACTCCTATAATACGGAAAGGAAGTTAATCTTGTCTTTGTCATTACGGCAGATGGACGCGACGGTCCACGGAAACTATGTAAGGCATGAAAAAAACTTCCATTTCCGACGTATGTTCGATTTATCTCTCCAAATAAGCACGGAACAGACCGCACAAATTGAACGATACGAATTAGGACGTGCCAACGGGTAGAAGGCACGCAATCAGACGCTATTGATTAAAAAAGACAGGATTGCGTAAGACGGTATGCGTCAGCAAACATAGTCGCAAGAGTAACCCCAACTTTCCTCTCAACCCTCATCTTCAACTTAGCCCTTACTCAAAAACTAATCATGTCCCCAAGCCTAGTCAGAAGCATTACCATAATATGGTGCGCCTACCAAAATCAAAAAAGAGCCGAAAACGGTTGTATGCTGCAGCTCAGTGACTGAACATTCACGAACTAGAAAAGAGTAATAACAGGGCAACGGGTTCGTGGCCCGGTGGGTAGAGGCGTTGACTTCTAAACCAACAGGTGGCGAGTTCGAGGCCCGGGTGTTCCAGACTTCGGGCTTGGATATGGCTGGCTGACGACGGCTAATAAGCCAGAAATGGCCATTCCAGTCTACCTTGTCTTTGTCGGTAATACCATTCTGCCTAGTAATAACAATATACCACACCGGGATCTGGGAAAATTTCAAAAGAAAATCATCAGGCAACAGTACAGACTCCCTCTTCCAGGCAAGCCGGACAGGACAAAAGCAACTAGGCCTATGCATTTTCAGGTCTGCATTGACTGCAGGAATCGTCCCTTACTCACAAATCTCCCCTACAAGATGTCTTGCACTGGAAATGCCTTCAGTGCACCCTGATGCTCCGAAAACATTTATCTGCATTCGAATGTTCAAAATTACTTTGTCTAAAACCAAATTTTATCGAATTATTCCCCTACAAAGTAGAGAAAGCACAATTTTGGGCGTCGTAAGCTGTTGGGAAATATGCTCCGACGCTTCCGCCACTGTAAAGGAACACCTCTTCATTCAATGCCCTCTTTAACACAGTCCTAAACTGCAAGCACACTGGGACGCCCTAAGAGCCTCTTTGATATCCTCTAGCTCACTATCAGTCTGTATGCCGGTCGAGTTGTCATCATAGGCGTGAAAAGCCCCACTTGTTTAATCAACGACAGCTTACTCACGAGGGCAGCTGATTCACTCAGCGTCGCAGTTATCCGACCAGATGCTCCAAGCCAGCATCCCCCCGAAGTCATCCGCGTGACCGCCACCTCAGTCACGCTGGTAGCAGTAGGCAGCTGGACAAGCGTTCGGGGAGGGGGCAGGTCAGAGGTCATTGGCGATGGGCGGACGCATGACAGTCCTAGTTCATCAGCGCGAAAATCACGAGTTGTCTTCACACTGGATCACATGACATGTTAATTCGGGGTTGGGGCTGCCTAGGCCACCGAGATGCTGGCCCGCTCACATCCAAAGCTATGTTAGCGGTGTGATCTGGCCCAGAGCTCAACCAGATACACCGACCTTGGAAAGGGGACGAAAAAATTCGACAAATGTCCATACCAGTGACTGTAGACCCCCAACCGATTTCTCCCACCTCTCTCTCTCTCTCACACACCCACTCTCTCGCTCTCTCTCTCTGCCACCCGGTCCCAGCAACGGGCACCTTGTCTGCAAAGGACAACTAAAAAGGGCCAACCACATTTGAAATTGATAGCTGAGATCTCCCTTGACAATACGTCTTCAAATCAGGGAATATTGCTAACTCCCTACCTCGTAATGACCAGTGAGACCGTTTAGTTTCGCGACATATGCACAACGTATAAGTAAGCTAACAGAAATCCGACGCCTTCGTCGAAATCAACATGCAGATCAGGGCTGTGCGCTTATCGCAAACCTCAACGGACTTCCGTTCCACGCCTTTCCATTGGACAGGCTGGTGATGCAGATGCCACCGAGAGATCTGAGCACCGGACGCCCACATTCCTAAGAGAATATTCCTAACGACAACCTGTCCTCTTTTCATAATACTTCAAGGCTGCGCTTTCAACGAGATGGAACGAGTGTGAGCGAGAATTCGTCCAAACGAATCCCTACAGTGGCGTCAACAGCTTTTGCGTCTCCGCTCTGGGCAAAGCCATTAAAATGGAAAGAACACTTTTTTTTCGAAAATCATTACACACTCAACGTCAGATTCGTTGTGCAGAGGTCCGAGACCAGGCAGGCGTCTGGAGGACTAAAAATGAAGTTCAAGACCACTGAGGCATCACCTTAAACGTAAACCTAAAGGTGTGCCGGTCTTTCAGGAGGGGGCCCAAAACTAGACGGCAAATCAGAGTCGAGAAGGGAATCTGAACCACGGATTCTGGGCAGTCTTGTCTGCAAATCTGCCTGTATCGAACAGGCATGCATGTGAAGTTCAATTGTGACTGTAAAATGAACTAAAATGTGGGTATATGGGCAAGTCTATGAGGGAAAATGCGTAGTAAATAATCCACGCCCAACTGCCGGTTGTGGTGCTGGTGGAGCTCCTCGCCAACTAATTACTATTACATTAGGTGTGCTAAATAATAAAATGCTAACCGAAATTCTGAAATGCGTTTTCGTTTCGTAAAGATTATTTAAGTAGGTTTTTAAAAATAAGCATCACGCAGCAGACTTCTAAAACAATTCAGTTACCTCAGGATGCCGGTTTTCGAACGAACTTCTTTCCGGCCGCAGGCAAAAACCGCACTCTGTAGAAAATGCCTGCTTGTGTACCATGAACTTTTTTTATTGATTTTCTATGCCCTTAAAAATTCAATTATATTTCATGAAAAATATGCATGAAAATATTTATTCTTTTACTCATTCGGTAGAAAATTACGTCTTATTCTAATTTTATGCTTGATGGAAGAGGATTATGAGGCTCTAAAAAGTTTCTAATTATGGAATTTTTTAATACCGTGAAATGTTCGTTCATAATAACATCGTGTCTCTGCATTTACTAATGTTGCATGTAAAGTTAACAATATGACTCGAATTCACTGCTAAATTTGATGAACCCCATATAGTCTCCTCTCAATATGGCAGAGAAATATATGGTTTTCCGTATGCGGAAAATAATCGACCTACAGTTTGGAAACCCTGAATACAAGTGCAACGGCAGGTCAGGTTCAAAATGACTCGGGAATTGAAAAGTTTTCGAAAACCGTATTGAAGGCTGCATTGCAGACAGTGATTCCTGCGACGGAGTTAGGAGAAGACTATTCAGTGATGAAGTCTTATTTCAAAATATAATAATGCTTCCCACTTAGATGAATGGAGAGACTTGCATGAATTAATTGGAGGCTGGACACCAAAATGTCAAAAATGCACCTCGCCACGAAATTATGCCACTTTTGTGGTGATAAGCTTATCCTCCCGCCCCCGAATTTCAGTTATATTGCAAATCAAAAATATTGCCAGGACTGATGCACAACAGGAGATATGACACAGATTATGTCGGCTTGGACGTAATAACTTAGTAACAATTACATCCTGGTATGGGGGTTGGCAAGTTCGTGGAGAATTCGATCTATGAAGTGTTTCCGTTGTAAGTTGTCGTATTGTGCTGTCGATCAGAAAAGAATATGGGGAGGCGATAATGCAATTAACACGCCTTAGAAGGAGAGTATATATATTTAGCAAAGCAGGATAAATAACAGAATAACACTAAGGTATAAGAGCCCGGCAAGACATGGCAATAGGAACCTTTCCTATACCGGAGTACTCGGGCTAATTTCTAGGAAGATTAGGGTTCAATTTTGGGTCGGGGTTAGGATCACGCCTGTAATTAAATTTAGGACACGAGAATATCTTACCTTCGGGGAATTTTGCCCACGGCCAGCTGTTTCACCAAGCGGTGAAACACAGGCATAAAACCACTAGATTAATGACTGGGGGTATCTAATAAACAAGTTTACGGATTTGACCTAAAAAGAGATCAGGATAAAGGAAGAATGAGCGATTGGAAAGGGGGGTTGGCTTCAAGATAGCTGAATAAAGTGAACCCATCCGGCAAAAAGTCGAAGAATTCAGGACTGGGAGAGGATCGCAGTCCAAAGAAACTGGAACGACGGTCAGATATGCCTATTTAGCTGCACCTGAGGTAAACAAACTCCAGCCACACATAATACGGGACCAGTGGTATTAGGCGACGAGGTTAAGAAATTGTCTGTAAAATAAAAGCTATTGCAAATGCGCGGTTGTACTTTGAGTGGTTGAGAAATAGTTGCCCTAAACCATAACCCTAGCCCTAACACCTAACCGCAGCCCTAAATCCTAACCCTGAAACATCCAACGTGAAAGTCAGAAGGAGTCGACAGGCCAAAAGTCAAGAAGGACCACCGACATTAAGCCAAAAAAGGTAGACACGGCAACAAAAAACAAGGCCGCCAACAGAACATACACACCGCAACGCACAGCAACACTATGCCAACGTAATAACACCAACTCAAAATAACTAAGTAGGTCAACAGCATTGTGTCCATCAGGTGCGGCCGCATAACCACATCTTACCGAACCGTCTTTCGACCAGAAAGTATAAAGCCCGTCTCTGACGAGCGTGATAAGATATGGTCCAAGTCCTATATACTAAGCGAGAACGGCGGCCTCCGTTTATGAAAAGACGGCCGAGAGTTCGACGGTCGATCCCCACTGTGTGTCACAGAGTATAATGAGAGCAGGGGCGGCGACCGGAGGCTGGATTGGGCGGAGGTGAGCCTGAATCTAGGCGTGCAACCACACACCCCCGCCATGTATAGAATTTGCTGTCTGTGCAGCCCAACAGCGCGTGCCGTGCCCTGATCTGGCACCCAGAGTTGGTCCATCGCAAATTCCACGTGTCCCATTGTGGGGGGGGGGCACAACTAACAGTTCGATCGTCGTGATCGCCGAGGTTCACTATTGTTGATAGAAGCGAACAGGCGAGTTCCAGGTAGCAGTTCAGAAGAGGAAGATGTGATTACTGGAGCAAGAAATTTATTGGCATGACGTTTCGGATTCGTACTCGAATCCATCATCAGAGACAGTCGCAGATAAGGGTAATGGTGGCACAAGGAGTGCAGTATTTATAGCACGTGGCTGCCGTGGGATTCGAGTGAGAATCCGGAACGTCAGGTCAATAAATTTCTTGTTCCAATGATCAGATCTTCGTCTTCTGATGTCCACCATGTGCTCCACAGCAGAGCGGGAGCAGGCATAGTGACTTGCACATTAATTGGTTTATAGTGGTTGTATACTCGCACAACATCTACACCACTCCCTCTCTCTTCCTTCCCCGCCTGCACCCAGTGTCGAGACAGAGTCAAGAAGATCGGAGGCGGCAGAGGGCGCAGGTGTCCGGCATGGCAAAAAACCCGCACCTAGGCGTACAACCACGCCACCTAATAATCAACAAACATTTGACCAGAATTTACCAACAAAAATGGGCGGGCGACAGAGGGAGAGAGAGAGAGAGATCGTTTGGGAATCTACGGTCGTTGTTATGGACATTTGCCAATTTTTTCGCTCCCCTTCCAAAAGCGGTAGATCTGGTTGAGCTCTGGGTCAGATCACGCTGCTAACATCGCTTCGGATGTGAGCGGGCCAGCATCTTGGGGGCCTAGGCAGCCCCAACCCCGAATTAACATGTCATGTGACCCAGTGTGAAGACAACTCGTGATTTTCGCGCTGATGAACTAGGACTATCATGCGTCCGCCCATCGCCAATGACCTCTGACCTGCCCCCTCTCCGAGCGCTTGTCCAGCGGCCTACTGCTACCAGCGTGACTGGGGTGGCGGTCACGCGGATGACTTGGGGGGGGGGATGCTGGCTTGGAGCATCTGGTCGGATAACTGCGACGCTTACATGAATCAGCCGCCCTCGTGAGTAAGCTGTCGTTGATTAAACAAGTGGGGCTTTTCACGCCTGTGATGACAACTCGACCTGCATACAGGCTGATAGTGAGCTAGAGGATATCGAAGAGGCTCTTAGGGCGTCCCAGAGTGCTTACAGTTTAGGACTGCATTGGAAAGGGTGCTGACTGAAGAGGTGTTCCTTTACAGTGGCCGAAGCTTCGGAGCATATTTCCCAACAGTTTACGACGCCCAAAATTGTGTTCTATCTAGTTTGTAAGGAGACAATTCGATAAAATTTGGTTTTAGGCAAAATAATTTTGAACATTCGAATACAAATAAATGTTTTTGGAGCACCACGGTGCAGTGAAGGCATTTCCAGTGCAAGACATCTTGTAGGGGAGATTTGCGAGTAAGGGACGATTCCTGCAGTCAATGCAGACCTGAAAATGCATAGGCCTAGTTGCTTTTGTCCTGTCCGGCTTGCCTGGAAGAGGGAGTCTGTACTGTTGCCTGAGGATTTTCTTTCGAAATTTGTCCAGATCCCAGTGTAGTATATTGTTGCTGCTATTTTCCAGCTCGTGAATGCTCAATCACTGAGCTGCAGCATAAAACGTTTTTCGGCTCTTACTTTGTAGCATATGCGAACCAACAAGAGAGAGAGAGGAATGCTTTATTTTGAAAATAACATTCAAAACTTTCAGCAAAAATGTTTCTCCAGTACACAGTGGTTACAATAGAGATTAACAGGTATTGGACAGGTGGACATACTTATATATGAAGAAAAGGACTTTAAGGTGCAAGATCAAGTTTTAGCTTTTGTTTTTCAGCATCTTTGCAGGTGAGATACCGGGCTAGAAATGGCAGTATGGAATTCTGATAAGCCGAAGTGCGACAAGGAATGTGGCGGAAGCATCGACGCATGGGGCGTAAGGATTCCGCAGCCATTAACTCATTATAAAGGGGATGGACGGTGTCATTCATAATTCGGTCAGCAAATTGCTCCACCGTATTGAAGTGTCGCTGCACGATGATATCAACTAAAATATGATAGGAAACACCAGCAGCAGAGGGGAGCATTCGAATGACACGTTTAAAAATAATTAGATCTTTTTTAAGTAAAGCTGGAAAAATAACTGGAGAACAATAAAGAATGAGTGGAAGAATACAGCCATCTATGAATCGCCAGATTAAGGACTGGGGTGTATGATATGAACGTAGACGACGAATGTAATAAACAAGTTTTTGAATTTTTGTTAAAAGGGTTTCCATATGAAGAAAGAAAGAGAGATTTGAGGACAAAGTAACACCTAGGTACCGGAAGGAGGATAACCTCATTGGGAAGAATATCCAAAGGTTCAGGAATGGGAGAGTGTCGCAATCGAAACACACACTGTACTGATTTCTGATTTTAAATGTATGAAAATCCCCATCACTATATTCAGAAGAGAGAGTGGCGAGTGAACGTTCCTTTCGGTAAATTCTCATCAGGCCAATACAATTACATAGGGCGGGGTAGAGTGAGTGAAACAAAAATCGATAAAAGTTAGGTTTTAAATTACAGGCTCGGCAAGAGCGGAAGGGCGCCGAAAGTTGCATGTGGTTAGTCAACCTTTGACCACGGTAAGCGCGGAGCCTGAACCAGGTTCTTTTGGGCGCATAGGGTCGGTTTTCGTAACCTTATGGCGGCCGCTTCTGCTGTTGCTAGCAGGCGCTGGCCCAGTAGCTTAGGGTAGCTCGAGGGGACCTTGTAAATCACACGAAATGCTTCGGTGGGGTCCACACGATGCCCTGAGTCCACTGCATGCGCAAGGATGGCGCTGTCTATTCTCCTAGTTTCACCCTTTGCCAGCCATGCGGGAAGGTGCTCTCGTATTCTTTTGGAAAGGCGCCGACTCGTACGACCAATATAACCTGCTCCACAGGAGCAAGTGAATGAGTAGATGCACATTGAGGCGGTCTGAGGTGGCAGCCTATCCTTGCCTTCTCCGCGTAGAATAGGGTTAGTGGAGAATGATATGCGAACCCTTGCTGCTGGGAAGGTTCCCGAGACAGCTTGGTCAAGGCGTCTTCTTAGGAGTTCACCTGCAGCGTCTCCTTGGAAGGGGACTTTGAGGAACAACGTTTTCTTCTCGGCGGTTAGTGTGGTGGGTTTTGCAGGTCGTTCGGCAAGGTTCTTTGCAATGAACCTGTCAGGATACCCATTTTCGCGAAGCAAGTCCTGGATTTTTCTAAGTTCCTCCTCGATACTATCTTTCGAACAAATTTTTCTAGCCCTTTGTGCCAAACACCTGACTAGATTCCGTTTTTGTTGGAGAGGTACGAAACTAGCGAAGTTCGTGTATTGTCCAGACCAGGTTTTCTTTCGATAGACACTCCTTCGGATGCTACCGTCAGATCTCCTGTTTAGAAGGACATCTAAGAAAGGAAGCGAACCAGCCGACTCCATCTCCAACGTGAATTTGATCGACGGATGTGCCTGATTTGCAGCATTTAGGAGGGCAGCGACGTCGGTTTCTGTGGTTGCAATCGCAAAGATATCATCAACGTAGCGACCATAATGTTTAAGCTTCTTGATCTGATCGCTTAGTTGAAATCTCTCCAGCTTACCCATGAAGACGTCGGCTAAGAGAGGTCCAAGAGGCGAGCCCATGGCAACGCCGTCTATTTTTGTTTCACTCACTCTACCCCGCCCTATGTAATTGTATTGGCCTGATGAGAATTTACCGAAAGGAACGTTCACTCGCCACTCTCTCTTCTGATTTCTGATTGTTGAGTAGGAGTCCATTATTCGAGGACAATGCGGAGACGTGATCTAAGCCATCCTTTAAAGACTGTAGGTGAGTCAGGTTTTTGAGTGGGTGGCCTACGACCATGTCATCGGCATACTTAACATACAGGCAGTCGTTTGGCGATCTCAAATCATCAGTATGTAGAGAGAAAAGATGAGGGGATAAGATGGAACCTTGTAGAACTCCACAATTATTTGGAAGAATAGAAGATTTTCTCTTTCCCGACTGGACAAACTGTGTGCGGAAGGAAAAATAATCTCTAAGCCAAGAAACAACCCAGCTCGGAGCGTCACACGCAGCTGCTTTGGTCAGTTGGAGTTGGCGCGGAATAGTATTGAAGGCGGATGAATAGTCGAGAAAAGCACATGCATATGCACGGCATCCCTTGTCTAAGTCTCTCAAAGCTGAATGAACAACTAAAGCAACAGCATCCAAGGTGCTACGCTTTGCCTTGTATGCAAATTGTAGAGGATCAGAAAAATTGACGGAGGAGTACTCAAGGGAGTCTAATGCAACTCGTTCAGTAAGTTTCAGGAGTACAGAAGAGCAGGCAATAGGACGGAAAGATTTAGGAGCAAAAGTTAAAGATTTTTTAGGGATTGGAGTAATTCTTACTGTACGCCAGGCGTCAGGAATCTTGGACTCTATGAAGGATAGATTAATAAGGTGGGTCAAGAAGGGAGCTATTTGCGAACAGCAAGACTTAAGGAGAAAAGGAGAGACACCGTCCGGCCCAGCCGACCCGCGAACCTTTTTGAGATGTTGTTCCACTGTTGTCACAGTCACAGGAGTAAAGTCGCATGGTGGTAGGTAAATTTCGTTTGGGCGAGAATGGGAGTCGTTAGAAGTACAAATAAAATTTCGATTTAAAGAGGTTAAATCTACATCAATGGGTTCAAGTATATTACGTTGGCCAGTGAGACGCTTGAGATTCCTCCACAGTTCAGCAGAAGGAAAAGGAGAGGAGGGGGTGGATGAAGTAGAAGAAAGTTGACTAACGAATAAACCGTTAGGTCTGGTGATTTCATTCTTTATTAAAACATTGATATCCTTCACCTTGTCACGCTGACCTAGTTTGTAGAGAAGGCTTCTTTGCGACGTCTCAAGTGTTTGAGGTATGGTGGGGAGATTCCTAACATTTCGATCGCATTATCCTTCAGTCATGTTTGAATGACCACGTGGGCCGCGCTGCTGATGTGCTGAACCAGATCGGGGTGATCAGGATGGCTCACTGCGTGCGTTTATCTGGTTGTGGAGAATCTGTGAGAGGTAATCTCTACTGCCGAACATGGGGGGGGGGGGGCAGTGGCGCGCCATAGGCACAGGCCTTCATGCCACGACATCCACTGTGCTTCCCCCCCCCCCAATCATCAGCTAGTTGACAGACTGGGACAGTCGACTGATGCACTGGTAGAGGGAGGTGAGAGGGTGTCCCATGCTGGAAATAAATCCTAAGGGCATATCAGCGCCTTCGCCACTAGAATAAATCTGACGCTTCCAGATGACTGGATAACTGGGTACTCTCCAGTACTCATAGTCAGGCTGTAATGACTGGGTTTAAATATGGCCTCCTTGGTGTTATTAGTGTTATGAGACCCCGCGGAGCGCTCTTACTGAGGCCTGATACGTGAGGGGTGGAAACTGATTTTTATTCGGCAGGTGCAGACGGGCTGTTTGGCTTTATCAGCTACGGTGCTCGAGGATACTCCCCAGGTCGTGTGGACTGTGGAGCATTGTGGGTGAAGGAGTTTTTGACTAAGCCATCTAATTTAGTTTGCGTGGGACTTGTTTTATGCCTATGATAGTCTAGACTGCGGACAAAACTAGTCCACTCTCCACAAAAGTAACTGCATCAACGGTGGGGTGAACGATTCCAGCTAACTCTCGGGCGACTGTGGATCGTGTCATACGCTAATATGGGTAATGAATTTTTTACGGGTGGGGCAGTAGGCCACACAGTAAGCTTACGAAATGCAAGAAAACGCAGAGATTTTTTGCATTTCTGACGAAAGTCCTATCTTTCACTTTCGTTTGATAGTGGAAATTAGCGCCTCGGTTTAAAAGTAAACAAAAATCAAACTTTATAATACAGCGGAAATTGAGCTCGTTGGAGGTTACTGTTGTTGCCAGTGTACTGTCTGGAACGGCCTGTCAATGGATGCCAGATAAAACCCCGGATGACATGATTCAGAGTCTACCGACAATTAAGTGGGGTCCTTCACCCTACCGTTGCGGCAACTGCCACAGAAACCTTCTTCAGCAAGACCTCGGGCATCTCCATGTTTTTTTTTCTAGACTTACTAAGCTTCCGCACTGACGGTACGCTGTTCTTTTAAGGCATCTGTTGGGTTATCGGTTGAAGCCAATAGTTGAGTTCTGTGAGACAGTTCTGACGAAGAGGATGCAATAGTTGGCACAAGGAGTTTACTGGCCTGACCTTTTGGATTCCCTTATCTGCGGGTGTTGCGATGCTCAGTTCGAGAGTTAATACGAAAGGTCAGGTCAATAAACTCCTTTTCCCGACGATAGCATCATCCTCTTCAGTACTTGGAACTTTTAAGCAATTTAGCACGAGGATCACTTCCGGTGTTAGACCAAGGATCTTTGCTCCATTCGGCTCTGCCTTACATAAGCGTAGTAATATACACCCCTAGAAAAATCTACCCGAACTTGGCTAGCTGGTTTTGGGCAGGAAGGAGTACCGGCAAAGGCGAGGGAGGCTGGGATGACTGAGACACAACCGACCGAATAACGAACCTGTGGATCAATGATACAGCAGTAGACTTAAACGACCAACGGCCAAGAACTCTGGGATCAAATCCTTAGGTTATTCAGACATGAGGATGGGTATGTCTGGCTGATGACGACTGATAAGTAAAAAATGGCCATCCAACTCCTCCTGGCCTTTGTCGATTCTTCTTTCTGCATAAACTACTGCCTGCGAGGGCCCAGGAGTTAATCCCAAAGTGCAATGGGATGAACATATCCCATAACCCTTCCTATGGGCCACCTTTTCACGATAATTATTTTTCTCTTTACTAGGGACATCTAAGACTAAGCATCTTATCGCTATTGATAGTCCGAAATTAGACATGTAAGTTCGGTGTTTTTGCAGTCATCGTCAACCAGTAACATGCTTCCCTCCACGAATCAGCGAACGACGCTCAGTATGAAATGTTCTGCCTTCTTTTTTGTTCTCAAATCAGATGGCTTAATTACTAAAATTGTTCCTGTTTTCTAGCCGTATACAGGAGAGTGGACGCCACTTACATAGATTCCTGGGCAGCAGCTGAGTTGTTTGATTAAATCGATAAAACTTTGTGAATGAAGTGTTAGACATCGGATAGTCGGTCAGTGCGCATTAACTGAGTTTGCCTCAACCTCGTGAACACAGTGAGTGCAACTCACAGAGACTAGGATAAGTCACATGAGGTTAATTGAAGTCTTGATTATTGCACTGAGAGAATATCCCGATGCCTACTATGCAGTTATCTGCTCTGCCCCGAATTTTTTATCGATTATTGATGGGTGTTCAGCACAGACTGAGAAGGGAGTCAGGCGGTGGGGTTGGTAAGCGAGGCTGCGGGAGAGGCAGTGTAGAGAGCTCGTAGCCAAAAACAGATAAACGGAAAAGAAAGCGGTTGCGCAAATAAGGTACTGTTGTGTCAGCATTTAGCAAAATGTGTCTATTTGCTTTTTGTTGTCTCTTACATTAGAAAACGGTCCCTATTTTTTCGTCCTCTGATACTTGTCAAGGTTTCATCTACAGTCAGTTTTGCAATAAAGGAGTGGGTGTTAGAAACTTGCAGGGGCATTTTTTGGCCTAGTTACTGACATCTGCCAAGCCAACACAGTCATGTCCGGACAGCAGTCAGTCTTTCGGTTACCCAACCAACCTCAGCTATTGTGTCCCTAAAACGGACCACGCGGTAGATGCACTGGACCAGCACGGGTGTTAGGGATCCGGTAGGCGTTATTGGGAATGCACACCCCAACGAATGCCAACATTCATGATGTATAAAATCCTGTTCAGTGTCCGTTGTGGACCAGGGGGTGTGGTGGTTCGACCAGGTGCAGGTTTTTTTCCGTGCCAGTCACCCGCGCCCTCCGCTGCCTCCGGTCTTATTGACTCTGTCTTGACACAGGGCCCAGGTGGAGGAGGAGGAGGAGGAGGAGGAGGAGGAGGAGGAGGAGGAGGAGAGAGTGTGGTAGATGGTACGCAAGTCTACTATTACCATAAAATAGTTCACACGCAAGTCGCCGCCTCTGCTCTCACCCTGTTGTGGAGCATACGGTGGACATCGTTAGCAACAACAGTCGAGCTGTCGTTCCTCCCCATTCGGAGGGGAAAAGCGAAGATTAGAAAAAATTGTCGTTTTTCGCGGTTAGGTGTCATTACAGGCCTGTTGTGCTGCTGCACACATAGGTTTCATTTTTTGCCATGGAAGCTATGCAAAGTCAGAATTAAATGGAACTTGATCCAAAACAGACGGACTTTGCTACAATTTAAATACTACTTGTTTTCCTTGTAGTAATTTTCGGTCCACTCCTTTGTTGTTTGGGTTTGATAAGGGCAGCATATGTATTTCCGTTGAATTTGTTTCGCCCAAAAAACCTTGTCACGCAGGAGCCTAAGCGCACTGAACTAGGCAGAACTTAATAATACTCTGAATGCTGCGGACGTTCTTCATTGTCTACTGTCTGTAAATTGTTCTTACCACTACAGTCTATGAGAATATGACAGTCAGGGCTTCCGGGATCGAATGAGTAAGTTGGTGGGATGCCTAGGTACCTTTCATCTTTTCATGACCCATCGTAAAGAAAATTTTCACGGTCGTATAACCTGAATTACGTTGACGTA